ACCCACACCCACACCCACACCCACACCCACACCCACACCCACACCCACACCCACACCCACACCCACACCCACACCCACACCCCTGTGATTCATGCGTTTTTATGACTAATTTGCATAAACCAAGTGAGTCAACAAAGCATACTGAATATGTTATGTCTGTTCCATATTAGATTGATTGCATCCTTCTGGTGAAATATTTCATATAAAACAGAGTGGCATTCACTCATATTCGATATTGAACAAACATATGATTTCGACTGAGGATTAGTCAATAAAATAAAGGATATCATTCGAAATCTTTGAGAGGTTTCAAGGTTTCTAACAAATCATATACCAAATTGAAAAGCCATGTGTGCATACTTTCGATCAGCCGAACAGAACTGGAGTATTGGCGGTAGTAGCGATGAAATATGGAATGGATGGCATCATATCAAATCTGAAGATGATTTTTGGGGATGTGGTAATAATTTCGCAATGACTTTACAGAAAGGTATGCCATTTATATCTGTCTAGAATAGATCTTGAAATAGAATTAGCGATCGATGATTGCCTTCTCATACGTGTCAAAGTCGATATATTCTAATTATTTTTATATTATAGGCGATATAAAGTGTACGTACCGTACTTCGTACTACCATCCAAGTTTTAATCTGATCAAGCTTAATGGAAAGCCAGTGAGCGGTGAGTTTCAGTACGATCGAAGCAAACCTAAAGCAGAAGTATACAACGCATTCGTTGCTTTTATTGAAAGTCAAATCGATGCACAGACTACATAAACATTTAAAATCAATCAAACATCTTTTTTAACTAGATGGAACACAATTGTGTACTGACTTTGTATTATTTATTGGTGCTTTTTTATCGATTGAACTTTTTCTTTTGAGGTTTTGTGAGATAATTATATACTATGCAAGAAAACATCGAAACAAGTATCGCATGTTCAACAGTTTTATAATTAACAGAGTTCAGACACGAAAATCAGAAAGAAACGAAAGGTATCAAACTGATAACGATTGTCAATAGTTACTAAATTTATACATGGACAGTATCTAGTTAGTATAGTTCATAACCCTAATGGAGACATTTAGTATATTCTTTTACAAAAGAAATCAAGAACAAAGGCACTCAGCCATAGATGAGTGATTTCTGTTCGAGTATGCGTGTAGATCTTATCTTCATCCATCAATGTCCACATAAACATGCACCCTGTTGGTCATTGCATTAGATAACAAAAATCGGATTGCTTAATCTTTTTTTCTAATAAGAAAAGTCTGTTAAAGCATATGAAGATTTATTTTGCGTAAATACTTTTATTTTTCAATATCAATCATCATTTGAATGGAATAGGTGTTTCGATTGATCGTCAGCTGTTCTCCGATCGACAAGTCATGATTTATAGCTGCGCATTTACTTTCAATCGAACATTCTGAATTAATAGTACGAAAATTATTATCGCCGCTTTTGTATGAAAATCGCCCATTTTTATTTGGTGACCAAACTAAAATAGAATAGCCGGTGTTTAATTCGACGATGATTGGAATCGTTGTCCATTTCATAGTTATATCATTTGAAATAAGAGATGTTTTGTTGACAACGACACCAGAATTATTTACTACGTAAATAACGACTTGTCCATGTATTGATGCTTCTAATTGTACAGATCGAATTTTTAATGGATTTTTCAATTGGAATACATAACCACGACCGTAAGATGTCTCATACTGACAAGTTGAATACTCACATAACGGTCTTGATAGATCTAAAAACATGTTGTTCTTCTTTGCTTCTGCACCATCTGGAGCTAATACAACATTCTCACTCTTGATAACACCGTATTCAGCAATCTTTTGTTGCATATCTGTACTCACATTGAAACTAGCTTTCGCGAAAGTGCATCCTTGTTCAAGTCGTCGACATTGTTGATTAATTTGTTGATCATAATCTAGTAAAGTTTTTTTCATTTTCATGATCTGAATGCTGTCATTGTTATCGAACATTTGTTGCACCAGAACCTCTCTTGCCTTTATTGTCTTCAATTGTTCATTCATATCTGCTTGATATTTTTCTAATATTGATGTCTCTTCTGCTCGAAAACTGTCCAGTTGCTGTATTAATTTGGATTTTCTTATTTCTAAAAACGATTGTAACTTTTTAAATGCTTCATCGATATCTAATTTAACTGTCGTGTAATGCTGATGCTGTTGTTCTATAATACCATCAGCTGTCACTGCAGCTTTCTCGAGATTTTCTCTGATAGGTTGTAGTGATGATTGGATTTTTGACTTTGTTTCTTGCACAATATCTTGTAAACTAGTATACGTATGATCCTTGTGTTTAAATAAAAGACAATCTCGACAAATATGATTTTCACATATCGTACACCAAAGTTTTATTTTTTCATCTGGATGATCTGAACATGTGTTCGGAAAACGCTTCTGATTAGTAGACACAACAGTATGATTTTTATGGATTTTCTGAGAATGAATATTTTTTGAACAGGTGGTACACATGTAGCTCTCACATTTTTCACACCAATATTCCCATCGATTGACAGCACAATTCTCACATTTAGAGTTAGCAGTATCCTGTGTAATATTGGACAAAAATTCCGACATGTCTTTTGCTGCACGATTCATCAGTAATTTGGCAATACATTCTTCCTTAATAATTGTGCCGTCATGCAATGGACAAACAAATTGACTGCTTTTTATTGATTGATTTATGCAATTATAGCAATATGTATGTGAGCACGGTAATAATCGAGGATCTTTGTAATAATCTAGACAAATGGTACATGTGGCACAGTGGCGTAGCCAAGGGAGGGGCAAATGGGCAATTGCCCATTTCATTTGGAGGTTTGCCCATTGTAATTTTTATTAGTAAGTTTTTGCCCATTGAAATTTTACTTTTACAGAATTGTTTATTGATTTTTGAATTAGATAGTAACTCTATTTTTTTTCTTCCGTCTAAATCACACATACACTTTTTGCTTGTTCTTTTTGTGAAGAATGAAGAAAAGAATCGCTTCTGATATTTTCNTTCGAGAATTTGACCAAGATCCTTACAAGAACCTGATAAATTTTTTTCAAAATCCTCTCTCATAATCTTGTGAGGATCCTCTATACGATCCTGAGAAAATCCTGATAGGAACCTGAAATCTCGACTCAGAAAAATATCTGAGCAAGAACTTGAAAAAATCCTAAACAGGATCTTGTTTCACCTCGACAAATCCTGGAAACAGGAATTTCTAGGATTCGAGAGAGGATCCTGAATAAAACTTAGCAGGATCCTTGAGATTCAGGATCCTGACAGATCCTTTCAGGGTTTCTCAAGGAATGAACAGGATTGAGACTAGGGACTCGTCTAACTCTATCAAAGAATATATAAAGCAAAGCGAAGAAATTCAATTGAATTTTGCATTAGCGGCATCTTTATTCCTTGTTTTTACTTTCCATTAGTTGTAATCGACTAATTACATCTTCACAAATCTTGTGTAAATTAAAAGAAAAAAAGAGTGACTCAGTACCTTCAAGGTTGATGGGCGACGTTTTCACAGTGGTTTGTAGGTTCTTGAGAATGTGTTATGACTCAGATTCTTTCTCCAAGAAAGAAAAATTGCGACATGAAACGTCGGAAGTGAGAAGAAAAGTCGGGAGAAGCCAAGTAATATTATTTCGGAATATTGAATCGCTACTTCCGTATTTTTTCATCTCTTGACATTTTCAAACGACTCTTCTGTTGAAATACGCTGAATTTTATTTACCAGTGCCAAACTTTTAGCAAAATTGTGGAAGCTGAATCACAACTCGATACGACAATAGACTTCATAGATGACTTTCTGGATGACTACAGTGAAGCTATTCGTAGCGGCATTAGAAAGACTTTCGGTAGCATTGGTAACAGCATAAAGAGGTGTGTAGAGTGTGGAAGTGGGTATATGTGGGTAATGAGAACACTCACACATTTCACGGTGATTTTTTACCCTAAAACGAGAAATGTATATGCGCGTGCAGATAGAGACTCCCTTTATCTACGAGTGTATATTTGATCACATTCTGTTACGCAGGTACGAAAAATCAGATTGCAAAATCATAGACTTAGCACTTTTTAAAGGTTGCCTTCCTGTAACGAATAGATTTTTTGTCAACGTTAATATTATCGTTCAAGATCGTGTTTGAGGTGGACTGATTCTCATTTCATGATCATTCTCCATCAATTATGCATTCATTGTTTTTTCTGCGTATACGCTCTTCAGTAACAAATAACTGACTAGGAAATTTGTTTTTTATTAATCGCTTCTAATTTGATCCCTTTTAAGACATTAACACTTCCTTCAATGGCTATTCATAAGAAGAAAGTTTGCAAGAAAAATCACTGATTTATCGCTAATCTTTCTTATCCACTGCAAATTTATCCCTTTGGACTTCATTTAGATCCTGTAGTACGATTGAGCAACCCATTTCGTCGTTTACTTTCCTTCAATCCTATTGCTTTAACAGTATCTGCGTTCATTGATATATATGTTCCGTCGCATACCCAATAATTTCATAAAGTTTTGCAAAAAAGAACCAACAATGAAAGTGATACCGATGCAAATATATGGACAAGTTTGAGGAGTAATCGTGGATAATTGAGAAATCTTCAAGGGGAGAAAATCGTACTTCTGTATTTCAGAAGTACGGAAGTACGAATAAGTACCAATTAGTACCGAGAAGTACCAAGAAGTACGAATAAATACAGGAAGTATCGAGAAGTACATAGACATAGTTTCAGCTACGATGAAATATATATATTTACATGAGTGTGTGTAGAGGTTCCTTCATACCCATCTTTACTGAATAATCGAGGATCGTGCAGCTTCAGTAAATTACTTACTGACAATTCATATAGGCTGTCATTGACACATTGACTGTATTGGTATCAGTTTTATCGACACTGTGAATACATTGATTTCCACTGCCAACACTTATCGATTTTCACTGCGGTACTGACACTCACTATAACATCGATCCTCAGTAAACGTTGATCTCGCTGATATCGATGCTCAGTGAGGGTGTGAACGTAGCGAGAACGCTCATAATCAGTCTTACACACATCTACATGCCCATTCTCATCCAACGACACTTCACATATCCACGAACCACATCGACCTACACTCATACCCATCCAACATGCACGGACTCTTTATCAATGTCAGTTCTTTTTTATTTTGAGATTGTACCTCGTCTTGTTCTGTAAAACCCAACTTTTTACAAATAAGATTGAAAACGTTAAAATAAAACTACCCATAAAGCCAGAAGCGAAACAACTTGGTGCGCTAAGCACTGCGAACTATCAGTGTTGCAAAACACCACGAGAATGAATGTAAACCCCAAATTTTAATATGATTGCAACGATGTGAATTAACTTCGGGACCGTGAATAGATTTGAAGAAACTTTCATCCACTTTACACAAGCCTAGTAGCCATATATTTATGGTAGAAATGTACAAATCTGCACATGACTGAATTGGTAAAGTGGTAAAATGTCGAAAACAATAATAGCAAAAATTGAATCATCCATTTTATTCATAAATATTTAGCCGAAAAATAAGAACAAGTTACAAACTATCCAGAAAATGAAGGAAACAAATCTTATACAGATAATAAATCAGAATAAAAAAAAGTATATCAAGACTAACAATATTTCAAGAAAAGAACGAAAAAGACACCATCAGTCATATAGTGTAAAATTGCAAAAACTATTTAGTTCAGTTGTTAAATTTGTTTTTGTTTTGTCTTTTGCAACGATCATTGAAAGACCTTCAAGGTATTCATTCAGATCCATTTCATTATTTGCAAAATGAGCAGTTAAAACTTCGAGACCTTCTTGAATGATGCAGGTTCTTTTCAATTTTTTCTTAAGCAAACCACTTTTAACATGGAGAAGTTTGTTGTTGGAAATAGACTTCTGCTCTCTTGAGTACATCGATAAAATGCCATATATTATGATGTATCTTATCGACACGCCGATTGAATTCCTCGCCGTAAACACGGCCAACTGGTGTAGCTTCGGTAATTACGCGTTTTTTTATATTAGATTTAAAGTTAAGAATTTCAATGTGCTCTGGCGAAGATAGATGACTTGAGTGACCATCTTTTTCTAACTTGAATTGGTCGTTGATATCACTATGAATAATAGCAGAGACAATTTTCACAGCTCCAGTACTTGACGTTGGCACATGACTTGTTTTAAGTGATACGCAAAATCATCACAGATAAGTACACGCTTGCCTTTATTGCTTACCGAGAAGGCAATTTTAGGCATGTTACTCATGATGATATTCAGAACAAAATAAGACACAAATAAACAGAAATTTATCACAATGAATACAAGCAACTATATATACACACTTTACTAATTATTCGTTATTGTTTGATTCTCTTAACGAAACAGTCAAATTAATAGATAGAGAAATAAGCCTATTAGGAGACAGTTGTTCTCTTATTTTGAGTCGATAGGATATCTGTTTAACATCATTTATTATATTTCACCTTTTCTGTTGTCTTTTCCACCTTTTTTTATTCGATAATCTGCCTTTCGACAAGATTATTTTCGTCATTTCCACTTTCGACGTTTTCTCTTTCGATATTTAACCATCTATGCACATAGTAGAATAAAACTAAGCTGACTTGGTTTAAAATTTTTAAATGAGCATGCTTTCCATTCATTTCATTTATTGAAATAGAAACATGACATCATGGGGAAAAGTAAAAATCGATAATAGAACATGTCTGAAATAATATCGTTTTTACGAACTATATTGTGGTTTTCGATGATTAGCATAAGCAAATGGTGATACTCGTTCTGCATAATGAAGATGTGGACCAGTAACTTGTCCTGTGTTTCCACTTTTGCCAATTTCTTGTCCAACTTTAACTTTATCACCGGTTTTCACCAATTTTTTACTTAAATGCGCGTATAAATGTCGAACAGATTTACCATTCGGATCTTTGGATTCAATTATGATGTGTGTTCCTAAGCCTGTACCCCAATTTAAATTTTTAACAACTCCATCTCCGGTTGCTACTACTTTCGTTCCAATAGGACATGCATAATCAGCACCTGTATGGTAACCAAGTACCCAATACTTACCTTTCACACCATAGGCCGTTGTTACTTTTCTACCAGGAACTGGTGACACGCTGTTTGCTTGAGAAACAATACAATGAATGAGAATAACGATAATAAATATGCGGTGCGTGATAACCATAGTTTATCGCTTTTTCAAAATAAACTCATAAAAACACTTTTAAAAGATGCCGATTGTATATAAAATGAAATATACAGAGCAAGTGCATCTGTTCTTATCAACGTCTCACAATGATTAGCACATCACATAGTCATTTGATATTTGATTGAAAACATTAGCTAAAATAATAATCTTGGAGTATAGTGTTTCAAATAGCATATCAATAGGCTTTCATTAAAAAGCAATAGGCTAGAAATTACAAGTCTAGGACAATCATTTCGTGCCCTCATGATTAGAAACACAACTTTTATTAACGACAAAATAGGTGGGTGTGTGGACATAGTCGCAGGTGTAAGTGTGAGTCTTGCTCTTCGTTTATTTCCCAACCAATACCATATACTCTTAGACGTATATCGCTATCCCTGTCTATCTATGCCGATACTATTATAGTTATATCCTGTTCATTGTATCTTTATTACTTAACCCTTATGAATATATTGCTGGGCCAAAATGCCACGACTATACCTTGAAACACTAATCCTTATATGTACACCTCAATACATAGACCCCTGTGCCTACCCACTTACCTCACATTTCTCTCACTCGCAGACTCAAGAATACTAATTCTTAGAGATTCACAACACGCTGTTATCTATTAAAATGCGAAACAAGAAAATGATGTACATATAGAAAATTGCGTGATGAGCGAACACTACTGAGTGCTTTTGCTTCCATTAGTTGCTTCACTAAGACAATCTTCGTCTTGGTTTGGGTATGTTGTTTCAATAGCTATCTCAACGCCACTTTGATCAATGTCACAGTTCTTCACAGGTACGTCTATTTTAAACAGAAAGCAACATGCCGATCTTGTGCTCGATACTATGTTCAGTGTTTTTTTGATTTGTCAAGTAAATTATGCCCTTTCTCTCACTATTATATCTGCATCACGTTTCATTTCTTCTTTCTTTTCTATTCTTGCGAAGTATGCACATTCATTTTTTCCTTATCCTCGTTCTCATTCTCCTGACTTCTAGTGATAATCTCTGATACTGCTTTTGGTATTAATGAATACATAAATATGTTTAGGTTAAGTAGTGAATTTAATGTAGAACGCATCGAGATTCGACGAGACAAAATCTTAAAAATTCGATAATACATAGTAAGTTTATATGTTTTCGTACGGAGTACATGGAATCTTTTAGCATTTAATGGATTTAATGAAGGTTTTTTAGGAAAATACCAAACCTTCGGATAGTCTGAAAAACTGTCAACGATTTCCTGTAAAAAAATACGAAATACTAAAGTGGCTAAATAAGTGGTAAATATATCTGCATAAATAATGCGAAGCCATCGGATACTCGGCTGAACCATTGATAGTTTTCTATAGAGAAGATGGAATCTTTAGATGAACAACAAAACCACGAAGGATTCCGTCAACATAGTACGAAACCTTCTCACTATCTAAGAAGCTGTGTATGGTTTAGTTCATGATGCTCGAGTCCACTAATCAATCTATGGAATTCTCAGAAGATTTTCGTTAAAACACTACGAAATCTTATGATACCTATTAAACTTTGAAAGATCTGTATGAAAACTACGAAACGGTTTTTATTCTACTGAAGCTAAAATCGTTCAGTGAGAAATTTCGGAACTTTTGAATTTCGGTTATAAATACTTCTTTTCTAAAGTACGGTGACTAGTTCTGCAAGTATTAGAGACCGACTAGACCCAGTCGTTGTATGACTCGATCCAATCTGACTTCCGCATTTTTTCTCTTACTTCTTGAATAGATCCATTCATCTGTTCTTTGTATCCTAGTTCACTAGACTCTTTTCAAAAAATCCTCCAAGATGAGTGCGCAGACTTGTGGTTTTTCGATTCAGATGATATTGTTGAGGGGGGGGGGGGGGGGGGGGGGGTGGTGCGGAGGGGGAGGGTTGTAGGATTAATTGGAGCGGGGGTTGGGGAAGTGGGGGGGGGGTTGGGGGTGGGGGGGTGTGGTGGTTGGGGAGAAG